AGCCTGGTGTGCTGCCATCCATGGGGTCACAAAGAGTCAGACACGACTGAGCAACTGAATTGGACTGAGTGACTGAATTGAACTAAGGGCCCCAAAGGTATATTTTGAGAAGGACCTTGGGCTTGCTCTAATAATCATTTATTTTATGAAAGTCACAAATTTAATGTGTTAACTAAAACTTCATATGTATAATTGATAAAGGCAATAACTCTTCTGTATGCCAAGAATCTAAATCAATTTTAATAACATTGTGAGCTAAACAGTAGATGAATTTGCTTCCATTCAAGCAACCTGACTTGGGTGAGTTTTTTTATGGGTATTAAAAGTGAAGACCATATTGATCAATCTGTCCCTACATGGGAAAAGTCACATAAATATGTGTCCTAAATTAAAACTAAGACAGAAACTGAGTTTGCCTCCATCGGAATAATTTCACTGTTATAGTTGATGGTCAGGAGGTGCATAGCTCAGTTGGTAAAGAATCCACCTGCAATGCAGGACCCTGGTTTGATCCCTGGGTCAGGAAGATCCCCTGGAGAAGGGATAGGCTACCCACTCCAGTATCCTTGGGCTTTCCTTGTGGCTCAACTGGTAAAGAATCCGCCTGCAATGTGGGAGACCTGGGTTCCATCCCTGGGTTGGGACGATCCCCTGGAGAAGGGAAAGGCCACCCACTCCAGTATTCTGGCCTGAAGAATTCCATGGACTGTATAGTCCATGGGGTCGGAAATGGTCAGACAGGACTGAGCAGCTTTCACTTTCACAGGAGGTGCAAAGTTTTCTAGGTGGCCACAAGGGGGAGACAAAGAGTGAGCAGAGAATCAGATTTATTCAAGATAGGAATCACTTTAATTCCTGTTAGCATTGCCAATTATTTCATTTCAACAATATTCACCACAAGGATGAGGTTTTATGGTTCCATTTAGTGTGACCAATCACTAATTCTTTAAATTTTTTTGGAAATTAACCACCCATCCTTCTAATCTGTTGGCCATATTATGCTTGTGGCGTAAGATAGAGGTATTGTCCTTTTTATCCTACTTTCTTTAATAATCCTACAGTGATCTGTTTCCTTTGTAAGTTATCCAATTTGCTAGAAATTTGGATATTTCAGATATTGGATCTAATAACCTATAGGACCTTGGGCTTTGTGCTTTGTCCAAGAACTCTCAGAAATGAGGATGGAAGTTCGGGTATCCTTAAGAGTGAGCAAAGGTCACTTAGATAAAAGCTCTGAGTTTAAGACGAGCCTCCTCCTAGGACACCACCAAGTTGTTACATGAAGCATGGCTCTTTAGAACCCTCCAGGCAAGGTAGGGCAGGGTCTTGATATTGAGGGCTGTGTGGCTTGGATGAATGACCCTTGTGTGCATGTGTGCTAAGTCGCTTCAGTCAGGTCCAACTCTGTGCAACCCTATGGGATGTAGCCTGCCAGGCTCCTTTGTCCATGGGATTCTCCAGGCAAGAATACTGGAATGGGTTGCCATGCCTACCTCCAGGGGATCTTCCTGATCCAGGGATCGAAACTATCTCTTATATCCCCTGCATTGGCAAGCAGATTCTTTACCACTAGTGCCACTTGGGAAGCCCCGGAATGAACCTTATGGGTAAACAATTCCTATTTGAGTAACTAGAAATAACCTGTTTGGATTTTGGTAGTGTTTTTTTAAAAAAAATTATTTATTTTTCATTGGAAGATAATTGCTTTATAATATTGTGTTGGTTTCTGCCATTCATCAGCATGAATCACCCACAGGCATACATATGTTCCCTCCCTCCCACCCCATCCTGCCCCCCGAGATTGTCACAGAGCACCAGGCTGAGCTCCCATGTTGTAGAGTAACTTCACATTAGCCGTCTATTTCACACGTGGTGATGCATTTTATTTCATTGCTGCTCTCTCAGTTCGCCCCACCGTCTCCTGCCCCGGCTGTGGCCATGTGTCTGTTCTCTATGTCTGAGTTTAATTCCTGCCCAGCAAATAGGGAGTTTTGGTAGTTTTCATCTGGGCATGTGGGGATTCAGTAGCCATACAGATAGTTCCACGCAAGCAGAACTGGAGGTTGTGGCAGACCCAGTAATATCGTTCAGTATGCTTGCTAAAAACATGGGTCCTGAGTGCAACTTTCAGGGGGGAAATGTGGTTTCTGTATCTCTGCTTCCTTCCCAAAAAATGGAGACAGCCATAGTACTTATTCTGTTGGACTGTTGTGAGCATACACAAACAAAAAGTACTTAGAACAGTTCCCAGCAAATGGCATTTATCGGCAATTCACCAGAACTGCATTGACATCCTTGAGAGCAAGCGTGCTCTGGAGGACAGAATACTCGGAGTGTCGCAGTTACACACAATGAATTCTGAACTTAGAAACAGCGGCAGAGACACAGTCTTCCTGTAGGAAGGAGAAGGGTGCTAGATTCCACTCAAGAGAAGCTGGGGGAAAGTCAGGTTTTATCTTTGTCTCTACGGCAGCCTCTTCAACTCAGCTTTATCCACTCCTTTACTCATCCTTAACGTCACGGCTAAGAACACCCATTCTGGAGTTGAATTGCCTGGGTTCAAATCCTTTCTCTCTCTCTATAGGGAGGCTATTCACATTCTGGGACAACTGGAAGATTAGGTAGCGACACATTTTTGGAGGCTAAATTTGATATTTAATAAAAATTCAATAGTGAGCATGGATAAGTCCAAACCTTGTTGAGCTTCCATTTTTCTAGGTGAATTTTTTTTTCTAAATGGAAGATTATCCATGGAAAAAAGCTCCACTTGTTTGTCATTGCTATGGGCTTCAGTCAAGGCCTGACCCTTCCTCTTACTGGCTTTGTGACTTCAGAAGTTATTTAACATCCCTAACGGTTCCCTTTCTAATCTATGAAGTGGGGTAATGATATTACCAACCTAAAGAGGTCTGTGGTGAAAATTATACAAGATAACTCATAGGAAATGCCTCTCACCAAACCTGGGGCATAAAGACTGTTCATTATGTATCAGATGCCATTACTGTTCCTTCAATGAACAAATATTTATTGATTTATTCTCCCATTTCATTTTTTAATTGGAGGAAAATTGCTTTATAGGGTTGTGCTGGTTTCGGCCATACAACAATGCAAATCAGCCATAACTATGCATGCATCATCTCCCCCGTCTCCCTCCATCCTGCCCCTCTAGGTCATCACAGGGCGCTGAACTCAGCTGCTTGTGTTCTATAGGAACTTCTCCCCAGCTATCTATTTTACACCTGATAGTGTACATACGTGGGTGCTACTTTCTCCATTTGTTCACTTCTTTCCTTCCCCTAGTGTCCACAAATCCATTCTCCAGTCTGTGTCTACATTGCCTCCCTGCAATAAGTTCACTAATACCATTTTCTAGATTCCACAAATATGTGTTAATATACAATATTGGCTTTATTCTCTTTCTGACTTCACTCTGTATAATAGAACAAATATTTATTGAGCCTTTTTTCTGTCAGAAATGCACCTGACGGAGGACTCGAGTGAAATAAAAGAAAATTATCCTCGAACTGGGAGAAGGATGTGCCGAGGGGCTTCAGAGAAAGACATTCCCCAGGCCCGTTTGCCTGACGGGCCACTGTGTCCTCAGCAAAACTCAGGGAGTGATACGGAGAACAAAACTGCGGTTTAAAAACCAAGCTTGAGGAAAATGGCTCAGTGTACACGCCGCTAATCCTGGAGGTGGATATCTAACCGGAACTCCACCCAGCCAGAGAGCCGGGAAGGACTGGAATGAGACGATGAGAGGGCTCGGGGGATGCTGGCCTGCGGGGCGGTCAGTGAGTGTGGTTAACTCGGTCTGCACACTCGGGGTCCTGTTCCACTGGAGCCCTCTCAGCACTGCTGCTGAGGATTCTGCCTTGATTCCATGGTGACCAGAGGAGCCAGCTCCTGTTCTGTGCCAAGAACCAACAGGCTGGTGGACTTGGTAGGGCTGAATTTTTACCTTTGGCTGGAGCAAAAGGACTTGAAGATGAAACTAAGCAAGAAAACCAAACCCTAACAGTGTTGTAACCTCCAGCTTGAGTTCACACCATCTCATTTGAGTTTACACCATTCCTGGGGTGAAGTTACACCCCAGCATCCTTCCAGAGGCAGGAGAAAGGACATATAGGATGGGCTAGGATCTTGAAGACTATCACTGATACCACGTCTGGGCACAACACTCATGTTCACTAAATATTCTCACTCAAGGACGGAATGCAAACCTCAGGGAGGTAGACTCTGAAGGGAGATTCAGTTTGCAGGTTGTCCACTCCAAACTGGGCAGACAGGTCACTGTCAGGCCTGGTGATAGCTGAAGAACTCTCTTATGTGCACACAGGTGGTGTTCAAACATGTTCAGTCAGTTCAGTTCAGTTCAGCCGCTCATTAATGTCCAACTCTTCGCGACCCCATGAACTGCAGCATGCCAGACCTCCCTGTCCATCACCAACTCCTGCAGTTAACCATCATCAAACAATAGATTTTTATCCCCATGTCGCGAGTAAGAATCCACAAGCACAGACTGTTGAGTGACTTTCCATAAAACCAAAGCTGGTTCACAGCCATCTCCATCAGAGCAGCCTGTCTCTCTTACAACCAGAAGGCCAGCTGGGGTGAGGGAGTGATATCAGATTATAATGCAATCCAGAGTCTTTAAAATTATTGGTCATAAACAGAAGCCAAGAGCTTGTGGAAACTCAAGGAAACATCCTCTGCAGGAGGGCGAGGATGGTGAAGCAAGTCTCTGGGTGGCAGCGAGCGTAACGGCAGAGATACAAGAAAAGAAGAACAGCGGTGTTTTCCTGAGAAAGCTGGTTTTGTTTTGTCTTAGCACCTTAAGGGACTTCCCGAGGACAGGCAGCAAAGGAGGATTCAGGCTCAGGGCACAAACACAGGCAAGAAACACAGGGAGGTGGAGTGGGCAAGTGATCACCCCCACCCTTCGTGGTCACCCCCGTTCCAAACACACACTGCTGGGTGCCCGCTGTTTACATCTCAGTCTAGATGTACGCCCTCATGGGGTTTCCTTCCCACTCAGGCAGACAGGCCAGGCTGGAAGCCACCTCCTTCTCAACAGGCCAGCCCCAGGCCTCGAAGAATGGAGCCAGATTCTTCTGCACCTTCTCAGAGAACTTCCTCACCCACAGGTTCATCTTGCCAGGGTTGTCACTGGGGATGTCAGAGAGGGTCTGGTACTCAGCAAAGAGCTGGGTGAACGGCTCCCACCCAAAGGCCTCCTGGAGCTGCAAAAGGAGGAAGGGGCAGAATGAGGTATAAGTCTGTGAAAGATTGCAGCATACATGTTCACGAGTGTATCTCATTTCCTATGATTTCTGTGTGTGTGTTAAGTCGCTTCAGTTGTGTTCAACTCCCTGCTATCCCATGGACTGTAGCCCACCAGCCTCCCCCGTCCCTGGGATTTTCCAGGCGAGAACACTGGAGTGGGTTGCCATTTCCTTCTCCAGGGGATCTTCCTGAACCCAGGGATCGGACTCGCATCTCTTACATCTCTCGCATTAGCAATGGGTTCTTTACCACCAGCGCCACCCTGTCTCCTGATCTTACTTCTGATCATAAACATGATCATGTGACCATGTTGGCTCATTCCACTTCTTGGTCACAAACCCTGTACTCTTTGAATCTAGTAGGGGGCTACACAAGGAACCTAATTGCTGAAAAGAGGTAAATCCTCAACAAATGAGTTATCGCCATTATCTGTAATTTCTTTAATTAAAAAAAAAACAGTATTCTCAGTTCCTAAGTGTTTTCTTGATTTAGGCATCAGAGAGGTTTGAGCTTGACTGAGATGGAAATCGGTCCCCAAATCTGGGAACTTACAATATTTTTCAGACATAATAAAATCTTTTTTTTTTTTTCAGCCATCTCAGACCTGTGACTATTTTCAAAGCTACTGTTTTTCTCTATAGGACACTGCCTGTGGAGCAAAACAAGAAAGAAGCAGGTATGTCACAAGCGGTTCGACATGCAAGTGATTCGTACTTCATAGGGAAGAACCAACCTGAACGCCATGGGTGGGAAACTCTTATTTGCTAATATTATAGAAATGTTGATTCCCTGGTGGCTCAGATGGTAGAGTCTGCCCTCAATGTGGGAGACCCGAGTTCGATCCCTGGGTTGGGAAGATCCCCTGGAGAAGGAAATGGCAACCCACTCCAGTACTCTTGTCTGGGAAATCCCATGGATGGAGGAGCCTGGTGGACTATAGTCCATGGGGTTGCAAAGAGTCAGACATGACTGAACGACTTCACTTTCACTTTTCATAGAAATTTAGATCTTGGGGTTTCCAAGATCTCCCTTTTTTGTGGGGGAGAATCCTCTGAGTCTGGGGTATGAAACCGCAAGGACAGGTGCACTTTGATCAGCTTCCCTGTGATCTCACGGCTGTGTCCTCACTGACGTGGCCTTGTGAGTCCTCCTGCTCATCTCTGTTAACACATCACCACACTGAACATATTATTACACATATAACATTATGAAACATCTGCAGTGTGTCGGGTACTGTGCTAGGCAAAAATGATTAAGGGCTCTTGTCCTTCTGGAGGTCACTGGTCAACCGGAGAGACAGATGTGTAAGTGAACGAATCACAAAAGAAGTGGCTTGTCCAGATGATGTCAGGAGAAGAGGACAGGAGAGCTGAGCTCGGACAGGTGACGTGAAGGAAACAGACAAGATGTTCAGTCTCAGGAGGGGAAGCATGGGGAGACACAGAAGCGGAATTGGCAGATGCGTTCCTAGCGGGGAGCAGCTCCATAAACTGCAGGATAAACAAGGAGGTGGGAAACTGGGAGCTGGAGGTGTTGGTGAAAGTCTGATGATGAAGGGCCTGCGACACCCATCTAAGCATCCCCCTTTCTTCTGAATGTGAAGGAGCACACTTGAGGGACTTAAACATGGAATATTCAGATTATTCTGGAGCTGGTATGGAAGGTGGATTGAAGATGCCTGAAGCAAGATGGGGGAAAAACTTAAGAGGCTTTCGGAGCAGAGAGGAGGATGCTGAGGATCTGTGCTAAGGCAGCAGCAGGAGGAAAGACGGGGAGAAGACCTCCCGCAGGTCGAGCAAACAGAAGGTGCCCATCTGTCCTGAGACCAAGTCTTGGACTTCAGGACGAGAGGTCTCCCCAGAGCTTTTGCAGAATGAGACTCATGGTGAGTGGGTCAGCAGGTAGAGCAGAATAAGGACTTTGCCTTATGCTTCAGCAGCAACTACCATGTGGGTTCTGTTTCCCTGCAACCCTCTGATTGGCTCTGGAAGACTCCAGATCTGATGCAATGCAGTTTTGTCATTGACTGGGGCTGTCTCTCACTCAGATCTTCAGAAAATGAATGAAAAAAGAAAAATCAAAGCGAGAGTTTGGAAGTGCAAAAGCCTGGGCTTGTCACTGACTCCTGACCGCAGGTTCTGGGCCCATCATTTAAATGTGTGATGTTGGTCAGGATGCTTAGACTCTAACTCAGCGTGGCTGTGAAATGTGAGCCATGACCATTATTTAGAGGGTCATGGTAGACAGAACAGGAGATCTGACTGGGGAGTGGCTTTCACAGCTTGAAAATAGTGAACTTCAAAGCAGTATGGGAGAGGGGAAAGGGATTTCTGCTTATTTCACAGGAAATCAACTCACTTTGAGACTTTGGTGTTCTTCTGTTGGGTTGGTTATTTGCTTATTCATTTCGAAGACACTATGGCTTCAAGTGGGTGGTGGAAACCTGACAATTTCGGGGACAGAGTTACCTCCTGAGAGGTCTTCGTGTGATGCAGTTGCCCCTAACACTATGAAGGGATACAACACTCACTTGCTGAGGGAAAGCAAAGCAAGACAATCACCATTTACGAGGCACTCATTAGGGGACAAAGGACAAGCCAGTGAGTGGGAGAGACATGACTCAGTCTCAGGGGTGTCTTACTCAGAGCATCTGCTCTTGACCAATATACCCACAGACTGTATGTCTAATTATTTTTTTCTCATAATAGCTGTCATTTTCTCTTACATATACAAAAGCGCAGGAGGTGAGTGGGGGAGGTATCATTATCTGCATTTTAGAGATATTTGACCTGAGAGGCACCACCATGCAGCCAGGGGAGGTGGTGGGCAGGCTGGTGGGGGTGCAAAGGACTTGGCGAGCTCCTGGGATCTGGGATGCCCCATGATGGAGGGACTGGGGGCCCCAATCTCCCTGAATTTCTGCTCAGTACCTGCAGATATGTTTCCAGAGCTGTCCATACTTCCCAGCTGCACAGAGGGGCTCTGTTTTCCAGGTGTGTTTTGATCCTATTCTCCCGTTTTGGAGGGCTCAGCTCTGGGTGGGCCTGAGCCCTGGGGATGCCCAGGACCGTCTCGTGCACATAGACCGACCACAGGTTGCAGGTGGCCTCGGTGGTGTGGGGGGGGAGCTCCCACTCCTTCCGCTGCTGGTTGTGGCCCAGCTCGTGCACGGGTCCCCAGAGCCCTCGGCTTCTCATGGCCATCTCATTGATGAGCTCCGGCACGGACTCCAGGTGGCACATGATGGGGTAGCCCGAGTGCATCCAGCCTGGGAAAGCAAAGGGAGAATGAAGCACGGGGGAGGGTCCACCCAAACCTGTCTCCCTCCGTTCCTCTCCACTGGGTGACATTTCCTCACCATTCAGCCTGCACCTGATAATTTCAGAATCTCCCTGCTGACTTAGAAAGCTTGGTCCAAAGAGTGCCCAGCCTCCTTCCCAGACTTCCACTCCGGAGTTACACCTCCCGCTTTCTCTGGCCCCAAAGAATATTAATTCTTTACATAGCCATTCTCATTACAATTCAGTGGTTCCTTTCATGTGAGTTTCCTTTGCATGCCAGTCTGCAACATTAGGTCTTGTGTCCGAATCTGAGATCCTTGAGGCTAGGCAGTGTTATTCCTTCTCTTGTAGAAACCACTGTTGTGCAGATTTATTCTTTTTAACAATGAAAATCTTGCCCTTTGTTCAAAGATTACAAAATAGGGCCAAAGGAATTTTTTGCATCCCCCCCTTTTTTAAACAAGAGATGTTCTTCTTTTCTCTAAACCTAAATACTTAGTATAAATCTTTTTACCCCCTCTTCTCATTGCCAATCTGAATTATGGTTGAAGGAGATATCTCAGAGGTTTTAACCTCTCCTTGAAACAACCCTTACCAGCGTCTTGAAGTCTTAGCACCAGTTTTTCTGAGGCTGTTCCACCCTTCTATGAACTCTCACCCTGTAGGTGAACAGTATTTACCTTTTTTGCATGTAAACATCATTTCATCTCCATGTCTTCAATGTATTTTTCTCCCCTCACTTTACCGGTAAAATTCTGCCTTACACATATTGGATATTTGAAAAGGCAAAATAAAAGTCAACAGAAGGGAAGAAATAACAAGGACCAGGCAGAAAATAACTAAAATAGAGAGTCAAAAAACAATGGAAAACATCAATAAAGCCAAGAGCTGGTTTTTTCAAAAGGACAGTCAAACAAACTCTGGCCAGGCTCACAAGAAAAGCAAGTGGACCCAAGTCAACAAAGTAACAAATGAAAGAGGACAAATACCACAGAGATACAAAAAATCCTAAGAGAATACTATGAACAGTTACATGCCAACAAACTGGACAAGAAGAAATGGATGAGTTTCTTGGAGGAGTTTCTAGAAACACACAGCCTGTGCAAACTGCATCAAAAAGAAACATAATTTGAACAGACCACTCACTAGAAGTGAAACAGAATCGATATATAGAAAAATACCTCTGTACAAACAAAAAGTCCAGGACTGGATGGCTTCACTGAGGAACTCTACCCAACAAACACAGTAGAATTTATACCGATCCTTCTCAAGCTCTCCGAAAAGACCGAAGCGGACAGAATCCACCCAAAGCCATTCTAGGAAGCTGTCATCACTCTGATACCAAAACCAGACAAGGACACTACAGAAAGGAAGGAAGAAAGAATGAAAGAAAGAAAATGACAGGCTCAAAGAAATGCAAAATAGTAAAGAAATGGTGTCCACCCCCTAGAAGCATCCCTCCTGAGTACCTACCGGCTGAGATCTGCACATCAGCAACAATCCTCTCTGGACGGCGGAAAGGGAAGGGCTGGGCTGCCAGCCTGGCTATAGCCTCCATCATCTCGTCCCAGAGGCGGAGCAAGGGCTCCGGGTCCTCCAGGGCCCGGAGGTCCGCAGTCAGCACCGTCAAGATGATGTTGTCCGTCGCCAGCTCTCCCCAGGGAGCCGGGCTCTCCTGAACACAGCTCCTCCACGCCTCCAGGGATGTCTCACCTGGGAATAAGCATCATGGAGCCTGTCACCCACTTCCTCCACCTCCCTTGAGCTGCAACCCTAGGAGGACACTGAAATACGGAACGATTAGGATGCACATCTACATGCTGCTCAGAGGACGGGCCCCCAGACGCTCCCCTCTGTTCTGCCCTGAAGTCTCCACGGACACAGGGATTTCTCACTCCTGCACCCACTGCCATCTCCAGCAGTCCCTTCTCCTGTCCACCAATCCTTTCGCCTCCGCTCCTTGGCAACCAGCCCCTAACTACACAGCATCCCTGCTCTCCTGCTCCCCGCCACGTGCAGTCCACTCACCCAGCTTGAAATACGGGGCACGCACAGCCCTCTTGATGGTGATGGACACGGGCCCCAGGTTACAGCCCGTGGGCACGATGACATAGAGAAGACCGCCCCAGAGGTTGGAGACCGACTGCTTGGTCCTGTCCATATAGCACTGGTGAGTCACCACAGGGGCTCGAAACAGCTTGCTGGCACTCATCAAGTTGTCGGTGTGGCAGCCAATCTGTAACTGGAAAGGCAAGTGCACCGTGCGTGGGCGGAGCCGGTTCCCTGGGCCGTGGATGCGGGGTTGTGTGTGGGGCTGTGTGATGGAAGGTACTGAGCAAACTCCAGCCTCCCCTTTCTGTAAGTGGTGCATGCAGACCATGAGATGGTAGCACTCTAAAAGTCATATGCACTGAACGGTACGTAGAATCATATTTCTAGGGATTGAAACAGCTCCACAGTGGACTGACTTCCCTGGTAGTTCAGTTGGTAAAGAAACTGCCTGCAGGGAAGGAGACCCGGGTTCGATCCCTGGGTTGGGAAGATCCCCTGGAGTAGGAAATGGCAAACCACTCTAGTATTGTTGCCTGGAAAATCCCATGGACAGAGAAGCCTAGCGGGCTACAGTCTATGGGATTGCAAAAGTCGGACACGACTTAGCAACTAAATCACCACCACCACCAGCAGAGTGGACCACCATCAGGCAGACCAGACATAACCCTGAGGCTGATACTGACTAGTGTCTCACGGTACCTCTGTACTAGACAGAACATGGGCTCCTGCACCAGGGATCAAGCCCCTGAGGTGGTTCTGATGCCGGGGATAAGGAGGGAATCCTTGGCCGCCCTTCGTGCACAGACAGGAGGCCCATTCAGACACAGTGGGATGCGGGATGAGGGCTCATTCTGGCCTCCCTTCCGGCTCAGACAGATTGAGTGCATCTCGTCTGGAGGCCTTGGGACCACTTTTCTCAGGGATACTGCAAGTGAGCGCGAGAGGGGAGACTGACCCCCAAGAGACCCTAACATGGTAGGAAGTGACCCTCAGAATTGAGGCAGGAGCAATTTTAATTTGGCATCATGGTCTATTTTTGTGAGTGACGGGGTTATGCACACCCTTTAGGGACGAAGGTAAAGACGGAAAACCCAGAAAGGCCATGCGGGGGAAATGCCTGAGGCTCAGAATATGTCAGGTGTCCTTTCCCCCACATTCCCATCGGAAGGTGGAGCGCTGAGGGCTTGTCTTAGAGGACTGGGTCTGATGTGAGGAGCTCTACACAAGCGCTCAGTTGTGTCCCCCTCTCTGCGACCTCATGGACTGCAGCTCGCCAGGCTCCTCTGTGTCCATGGGATTTTTCCAGGCTAGACTACTGGGAGTGGGTAACCATTCCCTTCCCCAGGGAGTCACTCCCTTAGGCACCCAGAAACTTAGCTGCTTCATCTGTAATGTGGGTAGGACAATGCCTTCCTGCATTCTGGTAGAAAAGCAGTGAGCTAGATGAGAATGAAAGCGTGAGGCAGTGGCGGGGGTCCAACCCTTACCTTGAGGCCGGCGCAAGCTGCAGCTTCACACAAGGAGACTTCTGTAAGCTGTCCATTTGGGAGGTAGAGCCCTGTACTCACCCAGGCATCACCGGCACCTGACAAAAGGCACAGCAAAGGCTGAGTTCTTCTCCCACTTGGTGTCTCCCAGCACCTCCTAGACGTACAGCCCTGCCCTGCACACCTCAGCTCATCCATGATTCCTGCCTGAAACCCATCTAAGCTCTGAGCAGAACCCCAGTCCCATCTCCCTGAAAGTGCCTGACGGAGAAAGGAACTGGCCCACCGAACCTTCAGCCCCTGCAAGACCCCACGGAGCCCACGATCCCCCTGCCTGCCCCGCCCCGGTCCCTGGTGGCCTACCTGGGTTGCGTGCATCGATCTCCACTGTGTGTTCCGATGGGCACAGGTTGGAGCCGCAGGACCAGGCTCCAAGCGCCTGTGCCAGCTCGGAGCAGTCAGTGCCAGAGTGCCCCAGCTCCGTGGCCAGGCAGAGCACCACCGCCTCACAGGAGTCGCCGGCCACCGGGTTCTCCCGGCTCACAGCTGGGAACCCCGAAAGACGCAGCCGCTTCCTCAGGAGCCGGTGCAGGGAGGCATAGGCAGGGACCCCCTCTGCGGGAATCTGGAGGAAGGCAGGTCCATCCACTCTCAGTTTCGCCAGCCAGTTCTTCTCCAAGTTGCCACACTTGAGGTTCAAGGTAGCCTGGAATTCAGACAGTGCCTTGCGGAAGTGGTAGTTCAGGCTGTCGGCGGAAGGGACTGGGAAACAGCCCGGGTCCATGGTCCAAGCTAGGATGCTGAGGCCAAAGCTGTTCAGTATGACGTTACCGGGGAAATCAGCCAACACGGAGCGGCTGGGGTTCTGGGAGGCCCACCACCAGGCGTGGCCCCCGATCAGCAAGCCCCCACCCTCGGCCACAAACTCCTGCAGCTGCTTAGCCTCCCTGTTGCTGTAAGCGGTACAGCAGTAGACGCACACGTCACTCGTCAGGTGGGGCTCAAGACTGCACTCCAGTCCGTGCTCCGACAGCAGGGCGTGCAGTTTTTCTAGACTGGTATTCACCCCAACTTTGCCCGTCTGGCCTTTGGCCAGCCAGCGCACAGCATTGAGTAAAAAGGTTCCCATACTGGGAGCAGAGAGTATGCCCTCATGGGCAGCCAGGACCACCCGGCCCTGGCCATAGCGGGCAGCTGCCAGGAAGCAGCGCAGAGAGGCATCTAAGCCCAGGGGGAAGGCCAGGGCCCCGTGCACCAGCAGCTGCGAGGGGAGTCCCTTGGTCCCGATGTTGAGCTCCGAGATCCCTTCCAGGAGCTGCTGCTGATCCTGTCTGAGGTCCTCCCCACACCTGGAAAAGGAGCAGAGGGGCTGCAGTCAGACGGGGAACCACTGAGACCAGCTCACTGAATACAGAAATATGGAGGGGCACAGAGGTTACACACTTCGCGCCAATTTTCTCACTCTCACTAGTAACACTGGAGATTTGAGTCACTTGTGTGACTCGCTTTATTGCAGTGGTCTGGAACTGAACTCACAGTATCTCTGAGGTATACCTATTATTGAACATAGAAATGAATGAAGTTAAAAAATAGATATATTCTTCAGAGCAACATTTCTGTAAAGAAGGCAGTATAGAACATCAAATCCCCCTCTCCTCAAATGCTAGCTCTGATCTAGGAATGTGTTATAAGTAAACTTCATACTACACTTGAAGATTTATACACTCCTTTTAAAGGGCTTCCCAGGTGGTGCTAGTGGTAGAGAACCCACCTGCTAATGCAGGAGACATGGGAGATAGGGGTTCAATCCTTGGGGAGATCCTGCCATGCCTGCAGGAGGGCACGGCGACCCACTCCAGTATTCTTACCTGAAGAATCCCATGGACAGAGGAGCCTGGCGGGCTATAGTTCATGGATCACAAAGAGCCAGACACGACTGATGTGACTTAGCACGCGCTCTTTTTAAAAAGTGTCACTTAAATGTGATGACTGCATTTACTACTTGGTACTGAGAAAAAGAAAGCTGAGCGCCGAAGAATTGCTGCTTTTGAACTGTGGTGTTGGAGAAGACTCTTGAGAGTCCCTTGGACTGCAAGGAGATCCAACCAGTCAATCCTAAAGGAAATCAGTCCTGAATATTCATTGGAAGGACTGATGCTGAAGCTCCAATACTTTGGCCACCCGATGCAAAGAACTGAGTCATTGGAAAAGACCCTGATGCTGGGAAAGATTGACCGCAGGAGGAGAAGGGGATGACAGAGGATGAGATTGTTGGATGGCATCACCGACTCTATGAGCAAGCTCCAGGAGTTGGTATGGACAGGGAAGCCTGGCGTGGCTGCAGTCCATGGGGTCGCAAAGAGTTGGACACAACTGAGTTACTGAACTGAACTAAACACACACGGGGCTGACTCACATGCCATAGTTTGCCAATCTCTGACGTAAAATCTAGGTCAAACTTCTAATTTATAAGAAATATAGGGAACAAAGTAATTTATTCAACTTCACCACAGGGATTCAGTCAGCAAAACACAGACTGTTTTGAAGGAAACACATTCTATACTATTGGGAAACTATTCAGGACAAAGTACCTAGTTTCCTTAAGAAAAAAAACAGCAAGAGAGAAACAGAATTGGAAAGGAAACTCAGTATTATATGAGACATAGAAGTTATATAAAGCTATCAAAATATTTGGGTTTTAATAAAAGATCAATTCAAAAAACTGAAAAAATAAGACAAATTATGGAAATGGAAAATAACATTAAGAAATTATTACTTCTTTTAGATGTGATAATGGTTATGTTTTCAAAACATAAACAAAACAAAAGATACTTCAGATTCCGTGGCAGAGATGAAAAATGTAGGCGTAGATGAAGAAAAACAAGAAAACAGGTTTAGTTTGCTGGATAGGAATCCTTTGGAACTCTTAAGAGGAATTAGTTGGTGAGATTTACCTGTTTGTCCCTCAGACTTAAGGAGAAGTTGGAATGAATCAGATCCACCCTGGTTCTCTGAATAACTCCTCACCTCCCAACCCTTCCAGAGGGAACCAAGTCTAAGTGTGCCAGGCCTTGGGGCTGAGGACACTACTAGCTGCTTTCTAAATATGTGTCTGCCCTTCCTTGACTGGCCTGATCTCCAGTCAAGATCAAACAAGTCATTCCTAAACAAGTCAACCCTGAATATTTCTTGGAAGGACTGATGCTGAGCTTCAATACTTTGGCCACCTGATGCGAAGAGTCAACTCATTGGAAAAGACCCCGATGCTGGGAAAGATTGAAGGCAAAAGGACAAGGGGGTGGCAGAAGATGAGATGGCTAGATAGCATCATCGACTCAATAGACATGAATCTGAGCAAACTCCAGGAGATTGTGGAGGACAGAGGGGCCGTGTGTGCTGCAGTCCATGGGGTCGCAAAGAGTCATACACAACTTAGCAACTGAACAACACGCCCTTCCTTACAGCAGCATCTTGACTTCTTCAGAGGTGCCAGTGCCCACTTAAAAATATTCAGCCCTTCAGGCCCTCTAGCAGCGAGAGTTGGCCAGGTGAGCTAACTTTGGCCACTGAAACATTACAGAGGTCTGATGGTCAGAGCTCCCAGAAAACATATTACTATCTGCATTAAAAGAGTCATATGCAGCAGGTATATTCATCTAGCTTATTATTGCCGAGGTGTAATTATATTGCCAAAAATAACAGTAGCAATCTTGTAGTCATAACGATGAAAGTGAAGCATCATCATAGGGAGGGGTGTGGGTCATGGAAGTGGTCAAGGGGAAGAGAGAGAGAGAGGGAGATTGGGAGGGAGAGAGAAAGAGAGAGCAAGAGAGGGAATGAATGAGTATGCATGAATGAACCTGGGCTATCATGAAGCAGGGAGTTAATGCCACAGTCCTGATTATCTGCCTGGACTTCGTTACACGAGAGAAATAAACTACAAGAACAATCCACTACAGCAAGGCTTCTGTTACCTGTGGCCACGCACAGTGAGTCACTGATTTAACGAGTTACACAAAACCACAAATATCCAAAGCTTCTGACCTCCTCTAATCTTTCCTTTCCTAGTCCTGCAGAGCTCCCTAAGTGGCAACACCTGTCCTTAAAAGTATCTGATCACGGAAATCTTGACTCCTGTCTTCTCTCCCCACTCCAGTTCAGCCCACCAGCCAAGCCTGGAGGCAGGAAGGAGCCAAGGTACCCGTCTCCCTCAAGCTGCGCCTCTGGCCATCACTGTGTCTTCTCTGAGGCTCCAGTTCCCATCAGACATCCCTCCGTCTGTTCTCCCAGCCCTCCTGCTGAACAGGCCTAGCATAGCTCCAGCCTGAGCCACCCGGGAAGCCCCCGCCACCAACCCCGGGCACCAGACAGACTGAAGAATAAGACAAGCACGCTAACAGACTGATTGTTGCTCTGGCCACAGACAGCAGGAAAAGTGAGAACTCAGCCCTTCCTGGGCCTCACTGCATTGCCGCTGTCTCTTCCTTTCTTTGTCATGGTTCTGAAAAGCAGTAGAAAATCACGTGTATTAAAGTGGAAGCTGAATGAAGAGGAGGATCAGATTTACTGTGAACATGCATCAGACTCCCAGGAGGGAAACACCACTCACCTGACTTGGAGAGGGATCTTGGGCACCTTCTTGGAGACCTTGAAGCAGCCTTTGTCCCCATAGGTGTCAGTGAAGTACACTCCGGCCACACTGGTCACCTGGTTCCCTGGGAACCTGGACAGCACCTTGTCACTACCGTGCTGACTGGCCCAGTACCAGGCCTGGCCCCCGATGAGCAAGCCCCCGCCACGTTTCACAAACTGGATCAGCTCGGCAGCCATGGTGTCATTGTAGGCACTGATGCAGTAAACCTCCAGGGGTTCTGCTGGTTCTGGGTGAACCTGTGCCTCCACCCCGGAGCCCTCCAGGATGTCTGCCAGGGGCGCCAGGGACGGGTGCACACCAACAGGCGCCCCAGCAGAGGGAGAGAGCCAGCGCACCGCATTGAGAAGAAACGGGGCCAGGCCGGCACCCAGCAGATAGCCCTCGTGGGACACCACCACCAGGCGGCCTCGGCCATAGAAGGAGGCCGCGATGAGGACCTGGCCTTTGTCGTTCACCATCACTGGGAAGGCGGCCTCTCCAGTGAGAAGGAGTTCACTGGGAACAGGGCCTTTGGGTACCTCCCAGCTTGTCACTCCATCCATGAGGGCCTCAAAGGCAGCTGCAGGAGCTGTCGCCATGGTTCAATGAGCTGCAGGAGAAGAAAGCAAAGACTCAGCTTGGTCAGAACAAAGGAAGAAACATGTGGGGGAAACAAAAGAAAGAAAACTAAATGCATTCAGGCACTTCCTTGGTATTCCAGTGGTTAAGAATCTGCCTTGCAATACAAGGAACACAAGTTTGATCCCTGGTCTGGGAACTAAGATCCCACATGCAGCAGGGCCACAAGCCACCCTTGAGCCCCAACAGTGAGCTGGTAAAGTGGATCCTACATGCCACAACTAAGACCTTATGCAGCCATAAATAAATACATAAATAATGCATTCAGATGAAAACCACTTGTTAGATTCCCCGAGTGGTGGAAGGCCTGGGGATTCAGCAGGGAACACAACAGACAAGGTCCCTGCTTTCACAAATCTAATACTTGAGTAGGGGAAGGAAAATAGTTAGGTAGACAAGCAGATAAAAGTCAGCCATTAATAATATTGTTAGATGAAAATAAAACACAGTGATGTGATATCCAGCAACCAGAAAATTACTTTAGATGGGGTCACAGTAAAGGCCCACAGGAGAGAGTGACATTGAAGCTGAGACCTGAGATTTAAGTTGAGACCTGAAATGCTGCAAGCGAGCACTTTTTTTTTTAAAACTTTTTATTTTGCATTGTATTGTGGTATAGTCGATTAACAGTGTCGTGATAAGTTTCAGGTGAACAGTGATGGGAACATAACTCAAGCATCCGCAAACATGTATCCATTCTCTGCCAAACTCCCCGCCCCTCCAGGCTGCCACATAACATTGAGCAGAGTTCTGTGACATACAGTAGCTGTTATCCATTTTAAATATGCAGTGTGGACACATCCATTTGAAACTTCCAAACTATCCCTTCCCCATGTCCTTCCCTCTGGGAGCATTTTAACAGAGAGAAGGCCCATGGGGGCTGGAGGAGCAGAACCTGAGTGGTGTGAGGGTGGGGCTGGATTCCACAGGAGCAAGAAAGAAGATCAAAGTGAGAGTTAACCTGAGATGACTCAGTACATTAATTCTCTGGACAAAAAGGTCAGTTGACCTTTCAGAAACTAAATTTGTTCTGGGAGCTTTGACTAAATGAATTGGGAAACACCTTCCAGTTTATTAGGTCTGCCCTCACTAGGGAGTTCTCCACCACTACTTGGGGAGCATTCTAAGGTTTACCAGGACTTTGAAAATTTGGTGTGCCTAAAACTGAGTTCATTTTTCCCTTCAGAGCAGCTCCTCTTGGATAAATTATTTATACACCGGTCTTCCCATTTGTATAAAGAGAATAGTACATCCCTTGGAGGATTCTTTCGGAAGATGAAGAGAATGCAGATAAAAATGTCCAGTCTCAGGTATGCAAGGAAAACAGAAATCATGAGTGTCTGTCCCTCTGCTGTGCTTTCTGGCCTCTCCAGTGACAAGAGCCAGGTAGCAGGTGTGCTGTGTGCCCCAGACCACCTCCATCCAGCAACTGCCCTGGAGGACTCTCCTGGGCACTGGGAGACCTTCTCACCTGGGCAAGGGTCCAGGGCCAGCCCTGAAGTGGCGGTAAGCTGATACGGGGCAAGCTTCCCCTGGGGTAGAGCCATCCAAGGTGCATTCTGGAGCCCCTCACGGAGCTACCCCAGGAATCGGGCTCCAGCTGCCCACAGTGGTAAACAGCTCAGCAAGAGGCCCTTCCTTGCTGGAACAGGGTCCTTCCGGGTTTCCTCCTCTCCACGTCCTCACTATGCAGTTCTGGGCTCACTTCCCAAGTAAACTGCCTGTGCTTAGGTCCTTCTATTAGGCTTGGCTTTGGGGAACCACCAAAATTGACAAACACCAAACCCTTCCCTTCCAAGGTATCTCCTCCCTCCTGTTTCCATATACTGTCAGCCACCTCCATTTGCCCTTGTTTTTCCCACTTATCAAATACCACTCCCTTCAATTTACATTCCTATCCAGAGGATACCAAGCTGGCTTCTGTCCCCAAGATGCATTCTGCAGTCTCATCCACAATTTTCCCCAAGCCTACTCACATCTCTTCCTCATCAGTTTCATCCACTCCCCCTGGTAAAGCTGAGTACCTCCCCCTGGATTTTAAGCCTGCAGAGTCTGGGCTTTCCACAGTTTTCTAGACTTTTTTTCCTTTCACTTTCTCCACCAATTCTCTAAAAGCCTTGGCTCCTTAAGCATGCCCAGTATTCCCCATAAAACTCCAGCTCCTTTTCTTTCTTTTTTAACTATCCTTCCCATCTGAGGGGCTTCCCTGGTGGCGCAGATTGTAAAGAGTCTGCCTGCAATGTGGGAGACCTGGGCTGGAGCCCTGGATCAGGGAGATCCCCTGGAGAAGGGTATGGCAACTCACTCCAGTATTATTCTTTTTTTTTTTTTCATTTATTTTTATTAGTTGGAGGCTAATTACTTTACAATATTGTAGTGGGTTTTGTCATACATTGACATGAATCAGCCATGGATTTACATGTATTCCTCATCCCGATCCCCCTCCCAGACTTTTGGACTCTGTGGGAGAAGGCGAGGGTGGGATGTTTCGAGAGAACAGTATCGAAACATGTATATTATCTATAGTGAAACAGATCACCAGCCCAGGTTGGATGCATGAGACAAGTGCTCGGGCCTGGTGCACTGGGAAGACCCAGAGAGATCATTCCAGTATTCTTGCCTGGGAAATCTCATGGACAGAGAAGCCTGGTGGGCTACAGTCCATGGGGTTGCAAAAGGTCGGACACGACTGAGTGACTAAACAACTCATCTATTGCCTTATTCTGAATACTGCCCGCAGGAGAGTGAATTCACAAAAAAGTACCAGTCCCCAGCTGGAGTATGAAGCCAGAGGGTGAATGATTTCAGTATGTGAGTTTGGGGTGGAAAAGCGCAGCAAGAGAACAGGAAGTCTGAGGTCAAGCCTCTGACAAGACAAGGGAGCTCACTCATGAATCCGAGCCTCCCTAGTTTTACAGGAAAAGCACCAAAAAGGGAAAGGGGGGAAAAAAAAACAAACCAGGAGATGAGGAAAAAAGACGTTCTCAGAACCCTGACTACAACTGTCACTACGTTCGCATGCATGCACACGCATGCACAAACACACCCCCATACAACAACACATCTGTCAAATTCTTGACCCAGAAATGCAAAGAGGCGAGAGGAAAGACGAATGAAGATAGGGAAAGGAACGGCGAGAGGAAACCAGAACGTGAACCTAAGGAGACCAGAGACACCGCGACTGCCCACCGCCTGGAACGATCTCCGGCCTGCATCTGGCACCTGGGGGAGCACCGGTCTCCCCAGGTCCTCGGATCTCCCCCGAAGCCACCCACCCCACCCAACTGACGCGCTTCAACCCGCGACTCACGCTACGGCGGCGCGGGGTACGGAGGGCGGACAGGAGCGCAGGTGCGGAGGCGGAGGCCCTTCCTGTGGGCAACTTGTAGGCCGGGGAGAGGGCGGGTCCCGGGGGGCGGGTCCCTCCCGGAGCCTCCGCCCCGCGGCCCCGCCCCGCCCGCCGCACCCCGGGGGGTGCCCTGGGGGATGCGCAACCCTGATCATGGACACCCCTGGGGGGCAGAACCCCCGCTTCCCCAGACCCTACTAGGGATCCTGCTGTGTGCGAGGGAGCTGCGCAAAGTTGCTGTCACGTTTGATGAGGAAAGCACACGCCAAGTCTCCAATAAGCCAGACTCGGGGCGAACAAGCCAACAGCACCGTGACCCATGACCCGGGATCGGCGCTGGCCCCGCGTGGATCAGGGTCCCTTCCCCTCCAGTCCCGGGTGCGGCGCCGGAGAACCGAGGCTTCCGCGTTGCCCCCACCGGGTTGCTCCTGCGTTGAGGGCCTTTCCCCTGGTGGTCAGTCTCCGGGAGGGATTCGCGGGGATCCAGCGAGCGCCATCAGAACCGTCTGGGACTGTAGACAGGAATGTTGCCCAGGGATGTGCTTGCTGGCAAGGAACCGTGCCTGTTAACAACACCAGACACGTCCACTCCAGCTGAAGTGATAGAGGGGCTGCGGCTTGAATTTCTACCCAAGAGGAGTGAGGTCAAAATCAAGGTTAAAGAGGCCCAGATTTGCTGGGAATCTGATTTTGTAGTTTTGCGGAGTCGATACACTATTTTTACTTTTAAGGATTTTTTGCTGTTTGTTTGTTTTGTCTTGTTTGTAGAAGGAGAGAGTGACGGTAGGGATGGGGCAACGCGGGCGTAGTTGAGGGTGATTGTCAAGATGTGGACCTTAGATCCCTATTTTATAACCTGTCTCTCCTTCGGGGCTAACACTGGTTATACATGTAAATCATTGCTCTGTTTATGGAGTTACTGGATATGTCTGTTTTTCTTAAAGGATCATGATTGTCTGTTTACAAAAATTACTTAAAAGCATCCATTAATGTCACATCCTCATTGAATTTTCACATGTACTTGACACTTCACTCATATTCTCTTCTGTCTCAGGGCCATTGTCTTCACCAGATCTCAAGTCTTTGTAAAACAGGTGGTACCTCCTCTAGTATCTTCCTATCCAGTTCAATTTTTTTGTATTTCATGTTTTAAAATTTATTTCTAACTTCTTCTTTGATAAAGATACACTTGGGTAAACTCCATTTCTTAAAAAACCCATTTTTTGGGTTTTGTTTTAGGGTATAGCCTATTAACAGACAATGTTGTGATAGTTTAAGGTGAACAGGCAAGGGACTCAGCCATACGTATGATGTATCCATTCTCCCCCAAACTCCCCTCCCATCCAGGCTGTCACATAACACTGAGCAGAGTTCCATGTGCTATACAGTAGGTCCTTGTTCGTTATCCATTTTAAACATAGCAGTGTGTACATGTTCATCCCAAACTCCCTAACTATCCCCCCACCATCCTACCCCCATCCTTTCCCTCCCCTGCAACCTCTGTCTTGTAAGCAAGTTCATTTGTATCATTCTTTTTAGATTCAACATGTAAGAGATGTCATAAGATATTTCTCCTTCTCTGTCTTACTTCACTCATGACACTCTCTAGGT